ATCATTTTTCTAAAAGTGATCTTATCTGCATTAAAGACTGCATGCACGATAAGAAAGTAATTCGAATAGTGTGGATAATAAATATAACATTTCTTGGGTCAGCAATAATGCATACGACAAGTATATCTTAGTACCTTGAAGAAGTTTCATATCAGAAAGCGTACATTTTCAAATAAGTTATCTTCTCGTTTCCGATGATATGCGTTAAAAATCATGCACGTTCATTGAGGCCACAAATGTGATGCTAAATGTAGATAACATACCTATGGATCGATTGATCGAATGATTGATGGTGTGACTGCTTGGCCGTCGGACTGTCACTGCAGCTCAATGCGTTTTTTTTCCCTGCTCCATAACAATATGATTACTTATGGCATATATAGTCACAAGATGTGCGCTCTTGCTTTATCAAATCTGATTTATAATCGAATGACGAGGCGTAAAGTTTCTTTAAGGTTTTTTTAAAGCCAAATACGAGATCCTCAAAGAGCTTTTGCCATCTGCTTAATAGCGGATTGGTGAAGGCATTCTGTTTAATTTACAGATTGTAAATCGTAATAACTGACAATTACATTTTAAAATTGGGTGAGTCAAAATGAATTGTGTAAACAAATCTCTTGTCGTGTTTTTACGACTCCAGATAAAACTTAGTTATGTAGGGTAATTTTAGGGGAGCACGTATGTAAATAAAACAATTTGTAGTTACGATATTCTTCTCCGATTTTGATTCTTGTCTCAAATCTTACGATTTGGTTCACCTCCCAAGCTCTTTATAAACTAATTGTTCCTTTCAGTCATCACTCATACACTGAAATAAGAAAGTAACGATCCTAAAAGAAGTCTAAGTCCGTCAAATCTTTCCACGCACAAAAAGTAGAAACATCTAATAGGCGGAGTAGGACTCCTGAGCTAGATGTATTTGTTCTCGACGTCGGTATGAATACCGTCGTAACCGCATCGGCCACAAGACAAGACACTTAACATTGTTAAGATTTTAACAATGTCAGAATGGAACATCGTGGTTTGGTAAAGCTTCTCGTTTTAACTTTTTTATACCAAGAACTGTAACGATTAGTCAATTTTTACGCCTAACGGGTAACTTTTTTTGCCGTTTTACAGCCAACGGTCAACCCCATTGAGATCTTCTGGACAGTTTCCGATTCGACAGCCTCATTCAGCGAATTCTCTCTAATAAGCGGAAACTGCTGAATGACACTCTTAAGCTATATACATGTATCTGCTTTGGTGACTTAAAATCATTGAAAATTGCACTTTTGCAATTTAAATTAAAAACCCCTTGCTGCCATAAAACTTATGAGGGATGGTGGGTTTAATCAGACTGGTTGGAAAGTAAGGGTTGGCAGAAATCAGATTATAAATTCCAGAGGTTGGCATCTCTGCAGTTATGTTGCCGACTCGCTTGCCTTTAAGTGAGTTGGCGATGGAAAGAACTGTTTTCAAAAGATTCCCGGTTGTCATTCCCTAAACCACTTAAAAACAAAGCCCATGAAAGCACGGCTTGTGCTTGTCATTCGTATTTAAGAATTTTTAATCCTTATCTGCAAGATAACAAACAGGAGTTCTTCAATCATGGTCAACTTTACTCGATGAGACGGTTATATCGCTTAATCGAAGGAATATGTTTCCATAGCGGGGTTAATAGTTTTTCATGCAACTGAAAAAATGGTATTTATCACTTTTAATATGCAATGACTATCTAAACCATTCAAGAACGAGAGTTTCGTGATTAGCTGAGACTGCGTCTCAGTGATGAAACATTTTAGATTCCAGTTTGTGGAATATTAACCACAATTTCAGTACCAATTCTCACGGACTCGTGCATCTTCAATCAAAGGTCAACCCTTAAAATTTGTAGTTATCCAGTGAAGAATATCATCTTTCGCTGCTGCGGAAGTGTGGTGAAAGTTTTCAGTTAGTTTCCAGTTGCGAATGTCGAAAAATGAAAACTATTAAAATTTAACTGCGTTTGGGTTCATTCTAGATATGATTTTCATTGGACGCTCTTGCTAAAAATTCCCGATAGAATCAATTCCTTTAGTGCTGGCGATAACATAGGTACTTTACTCTCTTACAATTTTGGTGCTTAAAACAGATGCACGTGCACTTTAGTCGGGTGATTGAAATCTCAGCAGCAGGTAGAGTCCTCAATTAGCCTTTATGAAAACCTCTCCACAACATTTACTACAGTTGCTAATGTTCTTTTCGGTCGTTATCAAATATTACCCTTTGCCATCGTGGTGCATACATCACCCAGAGAATTCAACAAGGAATAGGTATGTGATATCCAGCTAGAAACTTTGATAAAAACGTTGCTTGTATCCCTTCCTTACTTCAAGTTTAAAACTTCTCGTAAGACATTCATGTCATTCAATGTTACTAACAGCATTTCAACTTGAACAGGGTAAGAGTTGAACCAATCACTAACCAAAGGGGTTTGTATGCAATCTATGGAATCTTGCAAACAGGAAGAACTCTGAAAAAGCCCAGTCTATAATACCAATGGCGTTACAAGGAAAATAGGTCGCACTCCAAACGTTTCAGAGTGTCTTTCGATGCTGGTTCAGAATGAAAATATAGTCAAGTTATCGTACTCGGTCGAACTTTCACGTGCATGGTAGTCGATGACTGTACAATTTGATTTACACACTCGGCCTGTTCAATCGGTTCATTTGAAAGTTTGAAAGAAGAGCCTGTCTTTTTTTTCGCTTCAGCCTTGGAAATGGCAAGTCAATGTCCAGTCATTGGGAAGTTAGATCAACGATTTTAGTCAGTTTTTTAAAATGGCTTGCCTAACAAGTATCATGACAATATTTACGTGACACATCGTCTTTCCTGCCAACATTGATCTGTTCTTAATTAAGAAAGAATTTTCAGTCGTTTAAAATCGGGCTATTTTTTTTACATCAAAGAATACTTGAATTTTCTTGTTTGGGAGTGGTTTGATGCAGTTAGATATGAGAATTATCTTCAGCCATTTTATTACAAGAACGGGCGTAAAGTGCCCCAGATGGTAGATCTTTAGTAAACCATAAGGTCTGAAGAGGACAGCAACCATAATGCTGGTCTAAATACACTGATATCCAATCAAAGCGCACATTAGTATTACCTTTAATCTATTTGAAACGAGTATCTCAGAGAACTGACAGCAGTAGGAACAATTAGGTCGGATTGCCCCTTGTTAGGAAAACAATGTCATGCATCACGTAACACCCTACGAACTCAGACCTTTTTCCATCAGTTTCATAAAATACAACTTTACAGGGACGTTTCTTTCAAGAACCAATTGGAGTGCGGCTTATTGGTCAAATGGGCCTTTGAGAGTCTGTAGATTTAAGTCTGAGTTCCAGAAAGCAGTGAAATGCACCATGTATTACCGGGAACTACAGGAAGCCTCAAACAGTTTCAATTGTCAAAATTGACACTAAATCCAGACCTAACACTATCCCTGAACATTTCATTCTTATCCTTATATTTGTTGAACTAATCCTTGCCTTACGAAATACAATCAGAAAGGTTAGAGTCCCTCTTAGTTGATCCGGTGGAAACTTGCGAGCGAGAGTATTTGAATAAATTGGTTGCAACATATGTTTCATAGCTATTCCAAAATTATTTCATTTCATTCTACGAAGGAATCTGACAATTTGTCATCGTATAATTATTTCCCCCTCAAAAAGGAAGTTTAAATCAAAGTTAGTCACGTTCGTCGAAAGCCAGAAAGCAGTGAAATGCATCATGTATTACCGGGAACTACAGGAAGCCTCAAACAGTTTCAATTGTCAAAATTGACACTAAATCCAGACCTAACACTATCCCTGAACATTTCATTCTTATCCTTATATTTGTTGAACTAATCCTTGCCTTACGAAATACAATCAGAAAGGTTAAAGTCCCTCTTAGTTGATCCGGTGGAAACTTGCGAGCGAGAGTATTTGAATAAATTGGTTGCAACATATGTTTCATAGCTATTCCAAAATTATTTCATTTCATTCTACGAAGGAATCTGACAATTTGTCATCGTATAATTATTTCCCCCTCAAAAAGGAAGTTTAAATCAACGTTAGTCACGTTCGTCGAAAGCCAGTACAGGAAGCCTCAAACAGTTTCAATTGTCAAAATTGACACTAAATCAGACCTTATCCCTGAACATTTCATTCTTATTCTTATATTTGTTGAACTAATCCTTGCCTTACGAAATACGTCGTTAAAGTCCCTCTTAGTTGATCCGGTGGAAACTTGCGAGCGAGAGTATTTGAATAAATTGGTTGCAACATATGTTTCATAGCTATTCCAAAATTATTTCATTTCATTCTACGAAGGAATCTGACAATTTGTCATCGTATAATTATTTCCCCCTCAAAAAGGAAGTTTAAATCAACGTTAGTCACGTTCGTCGATGAAATCAAAGCCTTCGTAAAAAGTGAAACTGGCAAGTTGAACATCTTGCACGTCTTCGCGAAAAGGTCATCCCTAAAAAGTTGTTGCAATCCACTTTAGAATCTCGTCTTTCATTTCCTCGAAGAGTTATTTTTGTTCGAACAAAACGTCGGTTACCCCCGCTAACGTTTCATTCTCATGAACTCGCACGTACTCAAAGAAAGGTCGGCCTTAAAAAATTGTTGTTATCCAGTTAGGTATAAGATCCTTCCAAAAAAACTCAAGTTTCCCTCGCTTACGTTTAAGAGTGGAAACTTTACGTTAAAATCCTAGGGTATATTTTTGTGCAATTTTAACTGCGTTTGGAAACGTTTTGAACATGACCTATTAAGAATTCGCCGAAACGGTAATTAATTTAACGGGTCACTTTTGACGATCATTCCAGAAAAAAATAATATAATAAGTGTTGTCTCTGACGATAGCTGAGGTACTTGACGCTCACGACTTGCAGAGGCATTGATGCATTGAACATGTGCGCACGCAACTCCGTCAAGCTTCTTATAACTCAGTAGAGAGTTGAGTCCTATCAGTTTTGACAAAACCTTGTCATCATCCATTTTTTGGCAGCGTTTCTGAGTGATACTGCATGCAACACCAAAAGAATTACAATGAGAGGTATTAAACAAGGAACAGGTATGTGAAATCTGGCTCTTTGATGAAGAATTCGCATCTTAAGGAGACTTTCGTCCACAACTGAAGCAGTGATTAGATGCAATGCTTACTTTTTGAAATATGAGATTCTTTGCACATCTATGTCATTTTAAACTAATTTCTAACCCATGGTATGCGACTCTTAATCTTGCAAATAGGAAAAACTTTCGAAAAGTTCACTCTGTATTATCAAACGTAAAAAAAACAGAGGTCGAACTCTAAACGTTTTGGAATGTCTTTCGATGGTGGCTTTGAATAAAGAATAGTCAGATTGTCTGACACAGTGGAACAGTCATGGTGGCCTATGCGGTCCTATAATTTTCGTTTTCCGAGCTCAGCACAATTCTATTTTCCAGCTCGATCGCACATTCGTTCTATCCAAAAGATCCTTTCAGTTTTAAGTCTGTTTCTACCTTTGGAATGGCTACTCAATGTCTAGTCAATGTCAAGATGGAAAACTATAATCAGTTTTTGAAAGTGACTTTCTTATGTAACAAGTATCATGCGAATATTAGGTTGATTCGTGGAATTTCGTCCGGTCTAAGATTTAAGTCCTTTCCATCTAGCAGTCCTTTGTTCCTTCAAACTTTACTTGCGTTCATATTGATTTTGAATACATGCTGATGATTATGGTCCTGAAATCGCTGCGTTGCTTTTCGTACGGGAACGGCAAAGCGTGAAGTTTATCTAGTACCGTAAGATGTAAGGATTCTCTAACGGAATTTCGCTTGTGAAAAAGTCTTCAGACACCTTCTCCTCCTTTCTTTAAATATTGCTCTCTGCCGCCTTTTCTTGTCTCTCCAAAGAATTAATGCACTTATTCTGATCCTCAAGCTGATCTGGGTCAAAATTTTGGCGACGGCTTTTCTCAACAAACTTGAATGTTGATCTGGCTTGAAAGATGAAACAGAAACGTTAAACTGCCACGCAGTAAATGCGGTCATATATCTTGATATTTTTTTGTATGTGAAGTGCATGAATGGTACTTTCCCTGGGCGCAGGGAAACAGGAGAAATTCCGTTTTTTCATTAATGAACAAAATCTAGTTGTTGCAGATCCCCGGTTTAAGGAAATTGGCGAAGGATTTTCTGCTCTTCAGTTAGGCCAAGCAAGTGTTCCGAATCATTGAAGTTTCCCCACATTGAACGTTTAGTCAGGTAATTTACAATTAATCGCCCAACGGAGTGAAAATTGACCACTCCGAAAGAAAACTTATCGCCAAAGTAACGTCAAAAGAGAAATTTATCGTCACCGAATCCCAACTTAAAAGACTGAAAATTTCACGATTTGATTCTTCGATTTAACCTTATCCGTATCAGTACTTCGTAGGAATGACTCTGAATTAAATTCATTCCACGTGGAATCGATTGGAAGCTTGATTCAGAGGTTATGTTAAAGAAAAGAAAACGCACAAGAAGCAACGGGAACCTCCCAATCTGAAAAAAACGATAAGTACTCAGTAAGACAAACATCCCATTTCTCTTTCACATCCCATGAAAGTTGATTCGGTTTTGAAGAAAAAAGACGCGGCGACTTCATGACCACAGATCCCATATTTAGTGGCAACATAAAGATAAGTGATATAAAAAAAATTCCACGTACCTTAGGGTTTTGTATTCTCCAAAAAAGGTATAGCCACAACAGAAAGAAATGCCGGTAACCTTCAAAATTTTGGGATGTCAGGCAAAGCTTTCCACGAGATTCCTTCGCTCTCCCAGAACTCTTAATTTGCAATTAAAAGTTCATTTATGAAATCCGTTCGATCCGTTCCTCCGTTCGCTACCACGCAGCAAAACTATTTGTGAATATGCTGACCGCTTCTGGATAGGATTGAAGTTTAAATGTTGAAGCAAATAGTCGTCTCGGTAAGTTGGTAACTCGTATTTCGTAAACTCAGAGCTTGAAGTTGACTTCAGGTTCTTATAAACGAAGGCTGTCTTCGATCACTTCCTTTGCTCGGTTCTACCAAATAAAACACGCGATCAGTTATAATGTGAGGACGTTTCCGCTGGAACACAAAAACAATGCAATGTTTCTTTTGGAAGTATTATTCCTTGTGGCTTTGAACGTTTCTTGGATTCGAAATAACTGCATTTTGTGGATATTTAGAGATTGGAAGCAGAATTGACTTCTGGTCGTTTGCATTTGAAAAATTTGAGTACAACAAATTTAATGAGCTCACAAAGCAATACCGAAAAGCAGAGAATCAAATAAAGTTGTTTTTCCATTTGCGCTTGATGGCTGTGAGACGGTAAATAGGCACTTTGTGTTAGATGAGTAACGGTTCATTACTATGCTCTCGCAGTTCACATTTGTGAAGCATGATCAGTGATTAGGTTTTGCACGTGATCAGAGCGTGGCTGAGGTGGGTGGTGTGATTGTGGCGTGATATTTAAGTGCTCTTATCTGGAACTTCCTTTCTATTTTAAAAAAATAATGACTTGTAAGTTGCTCACGGATTATTCTTGAAAACGTTATAGAGAAGCCTGTGGCTGAAAAAAGCAGCTTTTGTTTACTTCATCAAAAGACGAAATAGAAAACTGGTGGAGCAGAAGGCCTCCAAAATATGGCTCTTCAAAGGAACATCTTGAGTGTTACGAAGAAAAACAAGTTATACTGTTATAAACGCACAACTTTTGGTCTTTTTACTTTGTACAATTTCCGAATCAAAAGCACTCGTTGATTGTTAAGTTCTCTCGGTTGTTCAATTCATTCTTTAAGTGCGTAGCACTGATCATAAAATATTTAAGGTGGAATGACTTCTCACCGCTCAATGACTTCTTCTCTTCAGGTTCAGCTCTACTGCTTTTGGCACTTTTTGTGAATTCTCAGTTTATACCATCAACAAGTGCAGCCCCAATAGATTGCCAGAAGAACACTGCTGTCTGCTTAGAAGAAATCTTGAAGGAACTGACCCAACTTCAATTTGAGGTTAAAATTCTCACAGAGAACAGAACATTGGTGCGATGTACGTTTACTTTTTTTTAATTGTACTGGTTATTCCATTTTATCTTTATCATTATACAGTGTAACACGAAAAAGGTAGTCTTATGCATGGCGATTTCCATTTATTTTCAGAGGAACCATTTTAGCGAATCTAGATGACAAAATTTTCAACATGCTTGGAGCTCTTATCTTTAGCAACTCTCTGTTCAAGCTGCTGTGTAGCTGAACATTGACAACAGAATAATTTAAATATTCTAAACTTTTTTCGAATCTTTGGTCATTTGTCGAGTTTTTTCAAAATAATTTTTATTCTTATCTTATGATTTGATGCGCTTTTAAAAGATAAAAGATATATGAAGAATCCAAGTCCGTAGTCTTCTCTCCAAGACAGATACTTCTTCGGATGATATAAGCACATTCATACCAAACCCCCTCTTTGAGAGCATGCCCAAAACGTCAAGCATATTTATTTTATCTACAACAGCTAGGAACTGTGCTGAGCTGTACAAATCCGGACGAAGGATCAGTGGTGTTTACACTATCGACCCAGATGGTTCAGGCGCCTTTAATGTATATTGTGACCAAACTACAGCCAACGGGGGATGGACAGTGATCCAGAAGAGAATGGATGGCTCCGTTGATTTTAACCGCACCTGGAACGAATACAAACATGGCTTCGGTAACTTGGTCGGTGAATTTTGGCTGGGACTGGACAAGATAAACCGCCTGACTCGAAACAAGACAAAGAACAAGCTTCGGGTAGATCTGGGGGTAACTACTGGCAAAACTGTTCACCCTGAGTATGACTGGTTTGGGATTGGGAACGAGACAGCTAAGTACCGGCTATACATTGGCAATATTACAAGTAAGTTAACGTTTTTTCTTTTTTCGGCATTTATCATTCGATTTATATATATTAATTCATTCTCATTTAAATCTCAATATTTTACTCTACTTGATCGAATAATGGTATTATAAGTTGGCAAGGTAGTCCTGAGGTAAACCTGAATGTCTGATTGGTTCTTACTCGGTCTGGAGTTAGGTCTTTGTGCCACGTAAGGAACTCACTTCTTACTAACCTTCATTTTTTCCTTTATTTCCTTTTTTGCGGAAAACAACAAGTTATTCGCGGGAAAAAGCCGTTATACGGATCCTAGAATTATGCGAATTTCTTTTGTTCTGTTTTGAAACAGATGCCACCGTTTCCTCTGATTCCCTCGGTCCCCACAGGAATCTCGTTTTTGGTACCTGGGATAGAGATCCTGTTGATTGTGCTGAAAGAGGTGGCAGAGGCTGGTGGTATGGCAACGGTATTAAATGTGCTGATTTGTCAAATCTCAATGGTATTTATCCGCGTTGTGGAAGGAAAACTTCTGCAGAGATTCACTGGGCAGAGTTAAATCGAACCAGTGCCAAAGACAGCGCTCCTTCATCAACTGAAATGAAAATTAGACCGGTGGACTTTTAAAAACTTTCTTAGAGATAAGTACACAGCACATAAGTAGATAGTAATTTTTTAGTGTGCTCTGATAATATCCACCTCTGAGCAGCTAAGGCGATGAAATCGAAATTAATTTAGGTTATGAATTGGTATATTGTCAGAAACAAACCATCTTTTTGGTTTCTTTGTAGTAAAAATTCCAACATTGGCTTTTGGTAAATACGTCCCATTGCAAACATGCCCCCTTACCTTCTTCACGGGTTCGTCAGAAAACGTAAAAAAAGTTCGCCTGCGTATTTACCAGTTCTACCCCAAATCTTTCGACTCGTTTCCTACCACAGATTGTGTTAAAGTTTTGTCAAAATCAAAATATTTTGGCGACTAACATGCAACATGTCCCCTGAATATCTACAACCTCGATTTATATCTCGAAATGTTATTACTTCGTATTGACTAAAGAATCCTGCGTACAAATTGGCTATTCTACTACCGAAACCAGCTATTTGAAGAGGAGTTTTTCCTTTAGGGGTGCCATGCTGTGGAACAGACTTTCGCAAGAACTCTGCTCAACAATTTCTTTAAGCGAATTAAAAACTACGTCATTGTAGCTTTTAAATGAGACATAGTATCTTAGAAAAACAGCTTTCATGATATAATGGGTTTTTAAACTTTTAATGCTGTATTAATCATTAGTAAGTAAGCAGAATTTTTATATTTTATACTCCTAGATTGTGTTGAAGAATTTTACTGCGGAGAAATAAAGTTGTCTATCAATCTTTCTATCTATCTGACAAGCGTTGCCCTTTCACGTGTTAACGTGGAAAGTTATCGAGATAAACAACAACACTGAAGTGGATTAATTTTCCATTTTTTTCGAGTAAATTTGCAAATCAGCGTCCGAGTGCAAATTTTTACTTTGCTTTACTTATATAGGAAAAGATTATGAGCGATTTTTGAGTAAGAAGAGGACGATGTTCGATTCCGAAGCTAGATTTCAACGTACACGCGGTTTCTTCTTGCATTTGTGAAAGAATCGCTGCCAGAAACAACTAACTTTAATTTAACTGCTTCGCAGCATGCGCACCGTTCGCAAAGAGACCGAAAGTTGAAGGCAGACAATCCTCTTGGCCCAAGTCCATTAAGATAGTGCACCTGGTCTTCTAAGAGAGCGTTAACGGGCGGCACAATAAATATAGTGACCAGTTTATTCCAGTGAAGCGAGGCGATCGATCACTGGCGCTGCTTGATATATTAAAGATTTTCCATAGCCATTTGATAACGAAACGGAGACACCTTTACCTTCGAAAAACATATCTCCCTTAGTGTCATCAATTGCAAAATGCTTCCAATCGATAGAAAAAATTTCCGGAAATTCCTGTAGAAAATCGAATGGAGAAGAAAGTTTCCGGACGGCAGAAAGCTATTTTGGATACAATGTACGCCATGAATGGATTACTGGACCCTTGACCAACCTTTTATGTTAATGATAATCTTTGATAAAATACCAGGACCCCTTTGTTCAAAGGGCAGATAATGCTATCCAACGGATAAATCGTTATTAAGCGCTTAAGTGTTAACAAAACGTACTGTGTTATCCACCGGATACAGATTTATCCAGTGGATAGCGTTATTCACCCTTCGAACAACCGGAGCCAGAAATTCTGTCTTTGGCCATTAAAAGTTCACATTGATGGAAACAGATGATTTGTTTTTATGTTTTGTACGTGCGTGTGTTTTTAACGGAAGTGAAAACAGCCTCAAATCGCCAATACTTTTGAAAGCAATTCAAGTGATTTTTTCCACTATCCAAAGTATGATGATTGCATTTGACCAATCATCAGCTATCAATTAACATGTCGAAACCACCGGATATGGTACGCTGACATTTTGACGTTGGGCAAAACCGATTATCGCCGTAAAAATTAAAGAAACGTTATGTATTGAAAACCAAAGCCAGCTTTTGAAACCAAAGGGTAACAGTGGGAAGCTGGAGCTCAACTTTTTAACGATAAATAGTATATACTGAAACAGCGGATTACGTCTAAGACGCGGTCTGATTGGCTACACAAATTCCGAATATGCTTTGCTGTTTACCTCCGAGCAATGCGCGCAGGATTTTCGCCCGAAAATGTAATAGTTATTTTAAGATTAAATGAGTCAAAATCATACTTAAGCGCGTATATTATTTCACTATTTTAGTTTATAATAAATCAATTATTTACCTCGCTACAGCAGCTCGCTACAACTGTAAATAGGGACCTTTCGTAAACCACGACGGCGACGGCAATGAGGACGAGGCAAACAAAAGATTTAATGAGCAGAACAATAACTCAGTACCTGCGTTTGAAGACCGTGTGTATTTCTTAGCCGTCCTCGGTAAAATAGGGACCTTAAGCAAACCACGACGGCGACAGCAACGAGGACATGGAAAAACAAAAGATCTAATCGGCAGAGCAATAGCTCAGCACGTGCTTTTAAAAACTTTGTACATTTCTTAGCCGTCCTATGCAAAACAACAACATGAAATCACCACAATTTGCTTCGTCTGCAAACCGAAACCGCTACGGCAAATTATTTTAATTTCCATTTGAAACTCAAAGCTTCTTTTACACGTTATGCTGAAGTTGAGGTGTAAGGGAAAGGTAATAAATCAAGGGGTGACCATAACCGCTCAATACAGGACGACTCTACGGAGCACTGTATGTTCATTGTGCTAGGTATCACTGCAATTCGCGAGGAATTCGTGGTGGTGTTATCTGCATTGAAAACTGCTTGATAAGGACGGAATTAGAATATTATGATAGCATACCTAATATTTCTTGACTCAGCGATATTGCATGGTATACCTCTGTAGCAGTATCACATCAGAAGGTGTATATCATTAATAATAATTATATTTCGAGTAACCCGCTCGGAAATCTGCCACGTTCCCTGAAACCACAATGTGATATTCAATGTGGATAATAAACCTTATATTTTTTGGGTCAACAATACTGTATACTGAAAGGTATAACTCAGTAGGTTGTCGCAATATCGTATCAGATGGTACACATCAATCAATGGTCATTATATTTCATGTAATACGCACAGAAATCCAGCACGTTCATCGAGGTAACAAATGTGATATTCAATGGCTCCGTTAGGTTTATTAGTTTAACGAATTAGCACCATCTTATCTTGTTTCGTCATATTTCTGAAAAAAAAAAAAAAAAACCAAGACGGAGTTTCAACTCGGGCGTTTCCTTTGGAAAGCCCGAGTAATAACAGAATACCAAATATTGCGGTTCATTTCAATCTTCTTCATCCCATACCAGATGACAACTGTAAATAGGGACCTTTCGTAAACCACGACGGTGACGGCAATGAGGACGAGGCAAACAAAAGATTTAATGAGCAGAAAAATAACTCAGCACCTGCGTTTGAAGACCGTGTGTATTTCTTAGCCGTCCTCGGTAAAATAGGGACCTATAGCAAAGCCTCTTTACATATCTGTTTCACATCAACCGGTTTTTTTAAAAATTTTCATTTTGTCAAACTATGAAATGATTTTATGGTTTCGCTAAAATCCAGATAAATTTTCATTACCAAGGAAAACAACTTCGTAACTTTGAGTAAGGAATTTAAAACTTTTTTCATCGTTCGCTTTGTTAAATCAGCAGCTTCCTAAACATGAGGGGACGCAAGCGGTCTCAACTGCAGGTACTTTTTAGAAATGCTAGGATATTATCCTAGCACTCCTAACATTCCGAGCTGCGCGAGAGTGTCAAAACCCGTGCGTATGTCACAGAAATGTCACTAGACCTAAAGTACGCCAGATGAGGGCGAATAAATTGTGTGGACATAGTTCTCTTTATAATCTACAATGTAAGGCAAAGGAACCGGCCGAGGAATAAAGGCACTATTGATTGCGTGTGAAACAAAAGTATTAGCTGATGACATTTTGATATCAGGCATTAATTTATTTATCTTCTCATATTTATTCGCCCTCATCTGGCGTACTTTAGGTCTAGTGACATTTCTGACATACGCACGGATTTTGACATTCTCGCGCAGCTCGGAATGTTCAGAACTCTAGGATAATATCCTAGCATTTCCAAAAAGTACTTAAAGTTGAGGCCGCTTGCGTCCCCTCATGCCAACGAACAATGTGCGGAAAATTAGTTATAATGTTGATAATAATAGTGATAATAAAGACAATTTTAAGGGGGTTGCGCTGACTAAGGGTAACTGAGTACGCAATTTTTTTTTGTTTTTTTTTTTTTTTTTTTTTTTTTGTTTTTTTTATCCATCAAAATTATGAAGAGATTAACTTTGCCGTTTCCGAATATTTAAAAAAGCTTCATCGCCAAAAATCAAAATAAGAAATCAGTGTAGGATTGGAAATCCTCGACAATAGGAGAAGCTCTGCTGGGTTTACCATGGCAACCTTTACGTTAACCAATCAGTCACAGTGATTGAATTTTGTCTTACACCCAAACTATCCGGCCATAGTTTGGGTGTAAGACAAAATTCAATCACTGTGACTGATTGGTTAACGTATCATTTTATGGTGTAAAAGTATCATGTGCTGGAGTCCGTAATTACTCGATCATTTTATGGGTGATCTGACAAACATGTAAAGGTGTAATTTGGACACCGATCGATCAAACCCAGCCGTCTCCATTGGCTTTTCTTTCGGTTGGACCTTTGATTTTGGGGAAGTATTTTTCAGGGTCTCAGGGCGTGCTTTATGCTTAAGAGCCATTAAGTTTACTCCCTTTGTAATCCGTGTCTGAAATTACCTGAGAGAAGAGAACTATGGTCAGTTGCATCTTTAAAAACGTTGATATCCCGGAAAATGAATTTGCTTGAATCTGCATCATTCTTTGATGAAGCGCTTATTCTAGAGATGCCTAAGAGTATAACTGCTCTCAGGGCCCGACCTACTGAGGGTAACGTCTGAATGAGTACTTACTTTCGTCTATACGTAAGGGTAAGAAAGCTCGTCCTAAACACAGGCGTTTCAATATTTTGTTTAACTGTCCACATGAATTCGTTGTCCTCTCATTTTAGGCGTTTGGTTTTTTTTTTTTTTTTTTTTTTTGCTTTTAATGTCTATTGTCTGTACAAATACGTAAAAGCGATCTTTTTCTTCAAAAGCCTCCGTTTATTGTCGTCCCAAAAGACAGAACTTTTTCTTTAGGCTCCTCTTTTGGACCAAAATCTCCATTTCTAACAGAAGTTTTGGTTGTTTTAGTGTTAAAAATAGGTGGACGTGCCCTAAAAGGTATGCGTTTTCAAATAGAAAATCATAGGTGTGGCCTATACCTAAGGCCTAGCACCTTTATGGAGGAGATCGGACAGCGCTCGCTCTAGTAAATATGGCAATGTATGACACTTGTAAGGGAGCCTTGCGTGTTAAAGTCAGAACATCAATAGTTAGCGATTACTCACCGAAGTGTAATTACATATCCACCACTTTCATCAACACCGAGGTAAATATTTTTTCTACTTTATGCCAGTATGAACATTTTCTAATACTCAATCTTGTTATATATTTACTTTCTTAGGTAAACCTGAAAAAACTAATCACGAGCATTGTGTTGAAAACATACTTTCTTTATTAATGAATGTAGGGTAGTTGAATTAGACCAATGAAAGGTATCT